AATGCTGTGCATTTGCTACTTGTCCACAGTGCTTCTAGATGAGAAGCATTGTGCATTTATTAGACAAGAAGTCAAAGAGGAGAGAGAGACTGTAACGAGAATATACCCCAACACGCAGGATTTAGCTAAACAAAAGACAACACAGAGGAGAGATACGTCTACCGGACCTTAGAATGGCCGGACTCGACGTATATGAGAGGAGACAGAGTCAGGAACAATCCGAAATCAAGGGCACGGAGAGACAGCGTAAACTAGGACAAGCCAGGGTCTGGTACACAGTAAACAACAAGCCGACAACCAGAACAGATAAGGATAAAGAGAAAACGTAGTCAGAAACAAAGCCAAGGTCAATACGGAGAAACACAACTGAACACAACAAGCGCTAAAGGGAACTGATACAGAAACCACGATAGGGCAAGGAACAAAGGAAAGAAGGTGAGTATAAATACCTAAACATCTACTTTGATTGGTCCCTGTCACATCCACGCCCCCAAAAGGTAAGTGTATGGGGAGTGTGGCATGACAGGGACCAATAAGAAGCCTTTTCCAATTTAGGCACCCACTGTCCCTTTAAGAGCGCGCCCGATACCCGCGGCGCGCTCTTAGAGTAGGTGGAACATGTGACCGCTACTAGTCACAGCGGTCGGCTGAGCCGCGCGCGGCTCGTGCAGCAGCAGGACCGCGCGCGGCTCGAACAGAGGACCCCGGCCGGCCCCTGGAAAGGGTAAGTACCGCTACAGAGACGAAACAGTAGGCGGAGCAGGCGGCTGCATGGATTGAGTCTTGGAGCTGGAAAAAAGCAATTAAAGGGTTACTTAGTGGTAATTTTAATAAATAAAAATCGGCCTGGGGGTCACATGCCATTTAGCTAATTAAATTTAAATATATATATTGCTTTTTTTTCTCTAAAACTAACAACCTCTCTTTAAAGAGTCACTCTGTACATCAAAACAACTTTGCATCATTGTAGTAAGCTATGGGCAGACAGTATCTGGTCCCTGTCTCCAGCACAGTTTGCATTGTAACTACTGAGAACTGCAAACACATTCATAGTCTAGAATGAGAGGCTGATGACTGGCAGAGCTCTTTTCTGGTGAGAGGCAGGTGTGCCAGCTGTAAGACTTAGAAATCCAGGTGCTTATCAGGGTCAGGGTCGGCAAAGCCCAGTTTAGTAGATAAAATAAATTAGGTCGAGACACTCAGGATTTCTGCAGGAAGGCAGGTTTATTGGAACAAAAAGTGTAACATTTTGGCCTACACAGAAGCCTTTATCAAGCTGTCACCTCAGTGTCACAGTACCCTAATTAAATGGTGTCAACATTAACCACAATTAACAAATTATGTGAAACTTATGGACATTTTTTGCCAAACCCCCTTAAGTTGACATGTTTGCACAGTGTCTCACTCCAGTAGGACTCAACTACATCCAGCTTCTCGTGCCAGGGGCTGTGCTATCTTAGTACTCTTTGGCATGCGCAGACGTATCTATGGAAGATCCTGCAAGATTTTTCACAGATGGACACACACACACTCTCTCTCTCTCTCTCTCTCCTTTTACTGGTCAGTGTGTGAGAAGATGTTCTTATTGGCTGTCACGAGCAGTGACTGATGGTAAGTGGCAAGATCACCCACTGCTACATTCTCAAAACTCACCTTGTCCATAAAACAAAGTAAATTCTGCTTTGTCTTATGAAATCTTTTATTAAAAAACGACCACTACTGCTTTAAAGGTTAATACTTTTTTGGGGGGTTACTTGACTTTATTTATTTATTTTGTACTGATGGTCACTTTATGCAAATGCTGTCCCTTTAATCATAGCTGAGCCCTTTCAAGCCCTGCCATAGAGATTGCAGAACTCAACAGTTTTATTTAGTAATGTGAGAAATGTCAACTGTTCACAGGGGGTCTGTAAGTGGCCAGACTTAAAGCATCACTGACTTACGGCAATCTATTTCAAGTTAAAGGGACACAACAGACCCCTAAGCACTTCCATGTGCTTTATATGTGAAGAGTGTGTTCTCTTTTTATAATAATAAAAAAAAGTGCAGATTTCAATAGAAATTTACACTTTTATAAATTAACCTAGTTAAACCCCCCTGGCTGTCAATCAGACAATCGGTCCTGTTACTTCCTAGTTTGGTTAGCTCAGTGGCGCTAAACTCAGAGACAGCAATTGCCCACAGCACCTGCCTTTCAAAGACTTCTCATTGAGCTCCTTTGGGAAGTCTGTAATTGGACAGCCACAGAAAACCTGGGCGGGGTTATGAGGGGAGGGCTTGCAAAGACTGCACACAAGTGATCTGCAGCTTTTGCAATCTGTTTTTAGATAGTATAACTTCAATTAAAAGTTGCATAAATAAATGCGCGTATGTTTTAATTTGGGCTATATCTACTAAATAGTGATTTTTGTTGTATTTGGGCAGTGGCGTGTACGTTTAAAGCAAAATTTGGTCATAGTATGTATGCACAATTTTGAGCAATGTTGCATCTCATTTCAAGATTAATGGTATGCATGAATGCAAGCATAAAAGCTATTTTGCTTGGCAAATTGTTAGACAAATAAAATGCTGAAATTAGTATAGAAAATGACATATTTGGGCACTGTATAATTAAACTTTTACATATTTTGCACAAAGTCCCACTAGCTGGCATACTAACACCATTTACCAGCAAGAATGTGATTAGTATTAAAAAAAAATAATAATAATTAAATCCGTAATTTCAATTAAAATTGTGCTTTATTTTTAATAAACTATTCCATCTCCAGAAATCTCTGCTATCAGGCATGCGCAGGGCAGCTATCCGGCAATCTCTGCTATCAGGCATGCGCAGGGCAGCTTTCCGGCAATCTCTGCTATCAGGCATGCGCAGGGCAGCTCTCCACACTGAGTGACAAGGGGTCCTTCACCTCGGCAATCGCATTGGTCCAGGTCAGCTTCTTGCCCTTATAAGGAGGAGACGTGAAAGGCGGGCTTTTTGATACTCAATAGCCAATGGGAAGTTAGTTTTCAAGAGTGGCTGGCACGCCCACCAATCAGGTGGCAGGTAGGCAGTAACTCCGCCAATGAGGGAGTGAGTTAGAGACAGGGAAGCGGTGTCGGTAAGTCGGTGCTTGGTAGCCGCTTCCATGGCCTCCGCGGGCAGTCTGCTGGTCCTGCTCCTGCCCCTGGCAGCGTGCACGTTCACACAGCCCCAGGACACCGAGCTCACGTTCCTGCTGCCGGCTGGGAGACAGGAGTGCTTCTACCAGGGGGCTCTTTACAATGACAGCATGGAGATAGAGTACCAGGTAAGATAATATATATAATACCCCATATAATAATACCAGGGGGCTGTGTACAATGACAGCATGGAGATAGAGTACCAGGTAAGATAATAATATATAATATAATAATATATATAATAATACCAGGGGGCTTCCTGTACAATGACAGCATGGAGATAGAGTACCAGGTAAGATAATAATATAATATAATAATACCAGGGGGCTCTGTACAATGACAGCATGGAGATAGAGTACCAGGTAAGATAATATATATAATATAATAATACCAGGGGGCTCTGTACAATGACAGCATGGAGATAGAGTACCAGGTAAGATAATAATATATAATATAATAATACCAGGGGGCTCTGTACAATGACAGCATGGAGATAGAGTACCAGGTAAGATAATATATATAATATAATAATACCAGGGGGCTCTGTACAATGACAGCATGGAGATAGAGTACCAGGTAAGATAATAATATATAATATAATAATACCAGGGGGCTGTGTACAATGACAGCATGGAGATAGAGTACCAGGTAAGATAATAATATAATATAATAATACCAGGGGGCTCTGTACAATGACAGCATGGAGATAGAGTACCAGGTAAGATAATATATATAATATAATAATACCAGGGGGCTCTGTACAATGACAGCATGGAGATAGAGTACCAGGTAAGATAATAATATATAATATAATAATACCAGGGGGCTCTGTACAATGACAGCATGGAGATAGAGTACCAGGTAAGATAATATATATAATATAATAATACCAGGGGGCTCTGTACAATGACAGCATGGAGATAGAGTACCAGGTAAGATAATAATATATATAATAATACCAGGGGGCTGTGTACAATGACAGCATGGAGATAGAGTACCAGGTAAGATAATAATATAATATACAACACCAGGCTCTGTACAATGACAGCATGGAGATAGACAGGTAAGATAATAATATATAATATAATAATACCAGGGGGCTCTGTACAATGACAGCATGGAGATAGAGTACCAGGTAAGATAATAATATATAATATAATAATACCAGGGGGCTTCCTGTACAATGACAGCATGGAGATAGAGTACCAGGTAAGATAATATATAATAATACCGTGGGCTCTGTACAATGACAGCATGGAGATAAAGTACCAGGTAAGATAATAATATATAATAATACCAGGGGGCTCTGTACAATGACAGCATGGAGATAAAGTACCAGGTAAGATAATAATATATAATAATACCGTGGGCTCTGTACAATGACAGCATGGAGATAAAGTACCAGGTAAGATAATAATATATAATAATACCAGGGGGCTCTGTACAATGACAGCATGGAGATAAAGTACCAGGTAAGATAATAATATATAATAATACCGTGGGCTCTGTACAATGACAGCATGGAGATAAAGTACCAGGTAAGATAATAATATATAATAATACCAGGGGGCTCTGTACAATGACAGCATGGAGATAAAGTACCAGGTAAGATAATAATATATAATAATACCGTGGGCTCTGTACAATGACAGCATGGAGATAAAGTACCAGGTAAGATAATAATATATAATAATACCAGGGGGCTCTGTACAATGACAGCATGGAGATAGAGTACCAGGTAAGATAATAATATAATATATAATAATACCAGGGGGCTGTGTACAATGACCGCATGGAGATAGAGTACCAGGTAAGAGAATAATATATAATACCCCGTATAATACCAGGGGGCTTGCTATCCCCTGTATAATAATACCAGGGGGCTTGCTATCCCCCGTATAATAATACCAGGGGGCTTGCTATCCCCCGTATAATAATACCAGGGGGCTTGCTATCCCCCGTATAATAATACCAGGGGGCTTGCTATCCCCCGTATAATAATACCAGGGGGCTTGCTATCCCCCGTATAATAATACCAGGGGGCTTGCTACAACCCGTATAATAATACCAGGGGGCTTGCTACACCCCGTATAATAATACCAGGGGGCTTGCTACACCCCGTATAATAATAATACCAGGGGGCTTGCTACACCCCGTATAATAATAATACCAGGGGGCTTGCTACACCCCGTATAATAATAATACCAGGGGGCTTGCTACACCCCGTATAATAATAATACCAGGGGGCTTGCTACACCCCGTATAATAATAATACCAGGGGGTTTGCTACACCCCGTATAATAATAATACCAGGGGGGAAGAGGGACTTGCTATACCCCGTATAATAATAATACCAGGGGGGAAGAGGGACTTGCTATACCCCGTATAATAATAATACCAGGGGGGAAGAGGGACTTGCTATACCCCGTATAATAATAATACCAGGGGGGAAGAGGGACTTGCTATACCCCGTATAATAATAATACCAGGGGGAAGAGGGACTTGCTATACCCCATATAATAGTACCGGCTTAGAGTGGCTTACCATACAACAGATAACATAGTACCAGGTGAGAGGGGGCACCTCATTGGAGTTACCATACCCCATATTGTTATTTGGGTAATATCTATTACTATTCAGCTGCCGAATTGTCTAATTCCGAGAGCGTGCGTTGAAAGTCCCACTGGGAGAAAGGTGCTATATAAATACTAGTTATATATAATAGTACCGGGTGAGTGGGACTTGCCATACCCCATATAACACAGCACCAGGTGAGTAGGGGGAAAGTTACCAGAACCCATATAACAAAATACCAGGTGATTGGGGGCAGGTCAGACTGGGAGTTATAAGCAATGTAAAAGTACCAGGTAAGTGGGGACAGAGTGTTACAGAACCCAAATAACAAAATAGCTGGTGAGTAGGGGGCTGCTCAGAGAGGGAATAATGAGAATCATTCCTCAATACAACACATTTCCAGGTGAGTGGGGGCAGAGAGTTTTCAGACCATACCCCATATAACACAGTACCAGGTGAGGGAGGCACAGGGCAGAGAGTTACTAGAACCAGAACTCGCATAACAAAATAGCAGTTGAGAGGGGGCACAGGGCAGCTCAGACTGGAAGTTATCATACCACATATAAAATAGCTGCAGGTTAGTGGGGGCAGAGAGTTACTAGAACTATACTCCATAGTACACCACATCAGGTGAGTGGGTACCTGATGACCATACCCTATGATAACACAGTATCAGGGGGGCGGGGGGGCACCGGGCAGCTCTGACTGGGCAGTATGAGAAACATTCTGCCAAATAACACAGTACCTGGTGAGAGGTGGCACATGGCAGCTCAGACAAGTTGTCAGGTGATGGATACAAGTAATGCTGCAATATTAGAATGGGACATTTATTAAAAAAAATTAAAAAATCTAGAAACAAACATTTTTTGTTTCTATATTTTTATAAATGTCCAGAAGAAAAAAGTACGCATGGTGATAGAAATGATGGCGTTGGTAACAAAAAGCATTTTTTTTCCCTTCTAAAAAAAATCAAATAAAAAATTGTGTAAATAATGTATGAGGGCAGTTCTGGGACTGTGAAACTGGAAAACCCACATTTCTGTTGGAACAAGGCTTTTCAGGTCCACCAAGTTTTCCAGGACATGCAACTTTTTTATCTTGATGTGCTGCAAATGAGGTGTATATTTGTACAGAGATTCAGAGTGTGTGGAGGATCGGTGTATTTCACCCCTCTCCCTTCTCATGGCTTGTGACAAGGCTTGACAAAGACCTGCTTTAAAGGAAAACTATATATAGTGCAAAATGGATTGACCAAGGACCAAGTCTCACTTCACGCTCATTATGGAAGCACCATCTAATGGTGGTAGTGTTCCATTCACTTGAGGTAGCCCTGCAATATAAACATGGTTTTAGCTCTGAAACAGCAGTGTATTACATTGCGGGAGCAAAACGCCAGGGGCATTGCGCACAGACCACTTAGAGGGACACTATAGTCACCAGAACCACTACAGCTTTATGTAGTGGCTCTGGTATCTATAGCCTGTCTCTGAAGGCTAAGCATTATAAATGCTGCCTTCTAAGAGACAGCCACTAGAGGTGCTTCCTAGTGTAGTGCTCCACAGCGTCTCCATGCTCTGCATAAAGCGGCTGAATGCTCCACATAGAGATGCAATGATTCAATGTATCTCTGAGGAGATGCTGATTATCACAGTGTGGCATTTTGCTGCACATGCACAATAGCTTCCCAATGCTGTCCTATGGGAAAGCTTTGGATTGGATGCGATCCTCAAGATTGATGATCTCAGCAATGGAGGTAGAGCAAGCTGCGGCGATAAAGGATTTGTTTAACACCTTCTTACTCCACAGATAAGGCCTCTACACCTAAGTGTATCCATGCTCTATAGTGTTACTTTATTTGAGATGAAGTGGTCTAGGTGCCTTTTAAGGCTGACAATTTGCCATCTTATGGGATTACAATAAATGAATTGGATTGCATAAAATGGCAAGATGTTAACTAGTGGTGTGCTGGACGGTTTTCTGCTTGCCTGTTTGACCGAACCGTCTCTTCCACCTCTGCGTTACATTAGTGTGTGCTTGCTAATGCTAAACTTCAAATTGCTGTTTCCATATCTAGGCTGGCATGATAGTCTACTGTGTATATAGAGCTCAGACGTGGTAAAAATGCGGAAGGACGGCTAGCATTAGCTGAGCAGCATTGGCTAATTCATAGAGCTCATAACTGCAAGCTGGAATGTGCTTGAAACACAGGAACTTTAAAGGAATTTTACTTTTAATATTTCTAAAGGGTCACTATAGGCATCATAGTAAGTTTAAGGTGCATAGAATTCCCTGCTTTAACTCTCCACTCTGAGAAGCCAACAACTGCAGAGATTTATGAAAATGTCACTACGATAAGCCTGTCCCTTAGAGTGATCAATTAGGCGACCTGAATGCTCTGTTCCTTCTTCCTGGTATCCATTTTGTGGTGAATGTTTTGTGGGCTTAGCCCTGTCTCTTCTCCCATTGCCCATAAGCAACATCCTAATGTTCTAGGCTGATGCCTTTGGGCCAATAATGAAGGTTCCAATGTCTTTGAGAGTAACGGTGCACACTTTATATCTTTTATCAGGTGATTGGAGGTGCTGGACTTGATGTGGATTTTACGATCACCACTCCTTCAGGGGTTTTGCTTATTATGGAGCGACGTCGATCTGATGGAGTGCACACGTAAGTGATTAAGTGTCAGGGCAACGACCGGCATCTTCTCTTTAGTTTTCATAGATAGTCAATAGTTGGCTAACAATTCCAATTGTACAGTGCTGTAAAATAGGTGAACATGACAAATGTTTAAAGGATCACTATAGGGTCAGGAACACAAACCTGTATTCCTGCCCCTATAGTGTTAAAACCACTATCTATCCCCCCTGGGCCCCTCATGCCTCCATAAATATAGTAATAATCTTACTGTATTCAAGCCTGAAGCTGTAACTCTGCATGCTGTTAGACTCAGAAAACAAGCAGTCTGCTGACATCATCAGAAGTGGTAGCCTGATCCAATCACAATGCTTCCCCATAGGCTTGGCTGAGACTGACAAGGAGGCAGATTAGGGGCAGAGCCAGCATGATTCAAACACAGCCCTGGCCAATCAACTTCTCCTCATAGAGATGAATTGAATCAATTAATCTCTATGAGGAAAGCTCAGTGTCTGCATGCAGAGGGAGGAGATACTGAATGTTTGGATGCATTTTAGGCAGCCATGGCCCAGGAAGGATCTCTAACAGACATCTAAGGAGTGGCCAGTGAAGTTATCACTAGGCTGTAATGTAAACACTGCATTTGTTTCTGAAAAGACAGTGTTTACAGCAAAAGGCCAGAAGGTAATGATTCTACTCACCAGAACAAATTCAATAAGCTGTAGTTGTTCTGGTGACTATAGTGTCCTTTTAATTCTAACACATGATTGACGTACTGGAACAGTAGGTGAAGAAGGCCCTGTCTAAACAAGCTTACCACTGGCCTGTATCTGATCTATGAGTAAAAGTCCATGTTGGTTTAAGGTAATTGAAGCTATGAACTGTAGGACGGCTAGTAACTGCTCTGATTGATTCAACAGCCAGAGTTCTGTAATGTTCTTTATGTTTATATTGGTCACCCAACACATACTGCTATGTTATATTGGCCGCCGAGCCTACTTGAATCTCTGGTGACACGGTTCAGAACTTCAGAATTGCAGAAGCTGCATGCTGATCCCAATGGTCCTTCATAGGCTGAGGGAATCTGCTGCACCCTCTCTGCCAGATTTCCTATTGGAGCCACTCCAGGCTACATAATGACGCTGCCAGAAGTAGAGTTAAACCTCCAGCAGAACTGGGTTAGATGTTGGTTAAAACCTGCGCATACAGGCTCCAGGTTCAATTTGCACTTCAAATCCCTGAAGGGGGTCCTGCTTTGTGGAGTAACACACTAATTTTGGTGTAAAACTTGCCATGTAAACGAGTAGTTTGTTCATAAACCTCCAGCTACTGTCTTCTTCTAACATAATTCTCTTTTCCACCTTTTATTTAATTTGTTTTTCCTTGTTAGGGTGGAACCTGCTGAAGCCGGCGACTATATGATTTGCTTTGATAATTCATTTAGCACAATCTCAGAAAAACTTGTTTTCTTCGAGATTATATTTGATACACGACCAGGCGATGAAGAACCAGATAACTGGTCTGAAATGGTGGAACCAGATGAACTCTTAGACATTAAAATTGAGGACATAAAGGTAGGTCAAAGAGGGGGTGGGGGGGGATACAAATTCTAAATCCACCCCTGTCTGGTACTGCAGCTGTGCCTTACATCACAAGTTTTGTTTCCAATAATGTTCTCATGACTTTCTGACCGGGTAGAAAATATCTCTTAATCTATTTATTAGCTAGTGATTTCACCCCTGCAATGTACTGAAGAAATTGAATCACTCATCAGAAGGAAACTCTGAGGAACAGGTACTGATTTGTCTACTTTAATAAGATTACCTTTCCTGCTCACGGACTGAGAAGGAGTAGAGTTCTGCCTTCTGAAGATCTTACTTCTTACAGGAAACCTGCACAGTATAGCCAGTTTCTAGTCACCAACTTTTTAAAAGACATCCAAAGCATGGTCTTTATTGAATGTCTCTAGTAAATCATAGGCTCTTTTCAGAATGTGTCATAATTCTAAAAAAACCCAAACCTCAGATTTCTTAACCCCTTAAGGACCAATGTCTTTTTGAGATTTACCACGTTTGTGACCAAGGCGGTTTTTGCAATGCATTCATTCCTCCACAAATTCCCTGCTTCTGTTTAAGTGCACCCATACATATTGTAAGTATTTAACCCCTTTTTTTTTTGTGCAAAAGTAAATGCAAATACAGAAATGAGAAAAGTTAGTCAAAACAAATGTGTACTTACAGAAGTATAGTTGGTATAAATGTTGTATCCTTAAAAAGGTTTTAAGCAAACATGTCTGAATGTAAATCAAATTATACTGCCACAAGCTAGTTAAGAAATGTAATAGGTGTTGTAGTGATAAGCAGATATAGCCTGAGCATGGCATATTGGTGGACATAAAAAGATACATGCGGCTATCTGATAAGGGCTACAAGTTTGCATCCACCTGGGGAACAAACGCATCGCTAGAGACCTGCCTACTGAAGGTGCATTGACCTCTAAATTAAAATTTCTAAACAAATGGTAAAAGATATCTATGAGTGTGTCTCTAGTAGTAGGTGCTGGGATTACTGACTGCATATGGTCTGATATCTGTAGTTGGCAGATTGACTGACTGTGAGTTTTTGAGGCCAGGTCTTTCCCTGTGTGGGCGCTGCGGAAGACTCCGATGTTCCTCACCTGCCAACGGCGGGCAGTCTTCTGGTAGTTTGGGTGATACATCGGAGGGGCTCTCAGTGTGACCTTTGGCCCAGGCATGCATGCGAAATGGGAGCTTTAGATTGTTTTGCCCAAGACAGGACTGTTTCGCTTTTCCGAACCCATCTGCTTCCCTGCCATGTGTAGGTAGATCCCAGAAGCGGGTAAATATCAGGTCCAGTTGCGTTTGTGCAGGCTGCGTGGATGCTGGTGCTGACAGCCGGGTCGTGTCCGCCATCTTGCTTGGACCGATGTGGTAGGAGCTTGGGTGGTTGCAGTATGCGGCAGGAGCAATGCATGCATTTGGTCGGTTGGGACTGGGATGATCTCCGCCAGTCCATGGGGAGGACGAGGGCCCAAGCTGTGATCTGCAGTCAGTCATAGCAATTTGAGAGTCGCAGTCTCCACCACGCCGGCAATGTTTCTAGGCCGCGAGGTTAGTTCAGGCAAGACCAGTACAAAGGTCCACATGTGGTATGGGTGTGGAGATCATGATGTCCCCAATCGTTTATCAGCTATATTTTGTTACATGCTTCTGCTCTGCGGTCAGGACCTGCCCCCACCATTTACGATTTTATCAAATGGGTAGGGGAAAAAAGGGTGGAAAAAACCTATACAGTATTTGTAGAAAGGAAAGCATGTCCCCGAGGCTATATTATAAGGAGAAATTTGACACTTTCTCTTTAACCACTTTATCACAAACCTTCACAAACATTCTCAATCCATTCCCAACCCACACCCCAACATATATAGACTTTATTTGGGGAAAATTCACAGACCACATGTATCCCACTACTGCAAACATAGCCTGTTTGTATTCTGCTACTTTTTAAAATCATAGTGTGTGCGTTAGTTTGTTCTCCCTTAATCCAGCTATAATCCCACTCCTAATTCCACCTCAAGATTCTTTTTGCTGTTGTCAGCACTGACATTGGCAGAGGAATTTCCCAACTCACACCGTACAGAGCACTCTGCTAGCTCTATGTACAGTGTGATTGCAGAGCTCACGCTCATGTTGTAGCAATCAGATGGTGTTGGGCAGATGGCCGAACAGAGTAATAATCCTACTGCAGGGAGAGTTCCCTATGTTATCCCTTACACTGATGGGACACTGTGCAAGGCTGGGCGAGGACCAAAGGCATTCAGTTTACCGTAGCAGGGTGATCACTTTTTAAAGGGCTAAGAGCAGCGCTCTACTGTTAGTCTGGGGGGCTACTAACAGTGGCCCCAACTGACAGAGGAGACCCCCAGGTATCAAGATACCGGAGCATCCTTGGTACCAGCAGAGAGTTAACCTTTACTGTATGACCGCCTATGCCATCACTGGGCATTAAAGCCCTTAAGTGGTTAAAGGGCTGCTCTTTGTAGGTTGTTAATCACCACTACCCACGATAGCCAACAGCAGCATGACTGCTATCTTAGACTGTCCCACCATTACTCCTCAACCGAAAGATTTACATAAACTGTTTGCAGAACACACTAGCAGAGTTGCTCAAAGATGACTGTCTGTGATGCACACTTGTCTATTCACAAAGCAGAAGACTTGGCACAAACTGGGTATTATCTTAGGTAGATTTATTGTGCTGTAAATTGCAATTTATGGGCGTCTATGAGCCTTTTGTTTGACAGGGGCTCTCTTCTGTTTACCTTGGTGTGGAGCTGCCTGTTACTGGCTGCACTTGGATTTCCCATATGTTATGTTCTTCACAGCATACTCTTGTTTTGACTGTTATTTCTACTTTGATTTATAGACTTAATCTCCCTTTTTATGGTATGCTCTTTGCTTTCTTGCTGCTAGGAATCTATAGACAACATGAAGAGCAGGCTGGAACGCAGTATTCAGATGCAGACCGTTCTACGTGCCTTCGAGGCTCGAGACCGTAATTTACAAGATAGCAACCTCGATCGAGTCAACTTCTGGTCGGCTGTAAACCTCGGAGTGCTGGTTGCAGTCACATTCATTCAGGTGTATATGTTGAAAAGCCTGTTCGATGACAAGAGGAAGGTGCGGACGTAACAGTATCAAAGTGATGAAGACGGAGCCACATTGTTTTCCTAGCACTGTCAACCACCCATTCACGTCTTCCGTTAATATTATGGACATTGGATCTGCAGTCCCCATCAGAGCAATGTGGCTGTAAATAATATGATCAACCAATTTCAGCTAGGTACACAAGGCGATATGCATCAGATAACAGTGGAAAATGGACTTGGTGGGCGGGTAAGGGTACACTTACGGACTCTCGTATGGCGGTTTTAAATAAGTTTTTTTTTTTTTTTTTTTCCTGCCTTTTATTAGTGTTCAATAGGAGATCAAATTCAACCATCATATGGTCTATAGGCAGCCATGTTGTTCACAAAGTGAGGGGTAGGAAAAATGTTTACTAAACTGTCCCAAATACCTTCATATTTAAAAAAAAAAAAACACTTTTTCGGTCCTGTAATTGTCAATGTGCACAATATACTCTAATTTGGGTCTGCAATTAAGCAGCTCTAAAAACGTTTCTTTCAGCAAATTGTACCTTTTTAACGTTAGTGTTCCAGAATGCATCTAGCACGGCTGTGTTCAGTCTGAAGAAAAGAAAAAATTCGAAGCCGGTGCTGAATAGGCTTTTCATTTTCTCCCCTTTCATTTTCTACATATTTCATTCTTCAACTAATGCGTTGAACTCTATTACCTGATGCAGATCCTGAATTCTTAGTGCCTTTTAACATTACACAAAGTGATCACAGTCGACTTTTTATATCTCACCCATCGACTGCCCTGGTGCAAATCATGATTATTTCTGTTAAAATGAATAATCAAATTTCAAAACCACGAGGTAAAGGAAAGATGTAGAGAGTGGCTATTTTATTGGTTTGCCTTAAGGCAAATATTTCTATGCAATATGCCTAATGCAGTATTTTATATCTGGAAGGGTGTGATTAGTTTTTAATCTTGTCTTGAAACAAGTCTTCCTTTCTAATAGTTATATAATTTATATATATTTTTAATTGCAGAAAACTTATTTGCTATTTTTGTTATCTGTAAAAAGAGGGGTTTGTATAAATGCACAAATGGTGTATATTTTTCCCCTTTCATTTTGATTAGCTGGAAGTTCCCACAGCTGTAGCTTAAAGGCCAGCGAAACCTTGTCCGTAACAGTTACTTTCTTACAAACAGTGGAAATGGGTTTGTGTCATTTCAAGGGGTTAACGGTCTTATAAATAAAGTTATATTTCATAGAAAGGTTTTTTACTTTTTCAAAGAGCTAGGAGCTCACTGGACAATCACATTGCTGCTAAAGATCTTTTTATACCTACAGTGCCTGCTCACCCTCCTGCTAAATGTAATAAAATGGGAGTTTTAACAGTTTACTTGTGACTTCAAATGACAAATGTTTTTAATGTGAATTTGTAATTTGGGGACAATGGTACTTATGTTGGCCAACGACTCAATAAATTGTATTTCTAGGTGTCATTGTGGATTTTCAAGAAACAAAAAAAAATGCTAGTACTCACCAGGCCTGCAGTGGTTAAAAGTAAACACCAAACACACTAAGCACTGACATAATTTAAGGACATGTGGTAGTTTTTAGCCTAACATTCCGTAATTTTTAAATTGTAGCATGGCTATGTTTACAAACTGTGGGGCATTGTGATTGGCTGTAGGCAGGAGTCAATTCAGCTGCTCAGCTACATTTTGTCTTCTAATCAGGAACATGTCTGTTTAAAAAAAAAAAAAAAGTGACAGTGTAGCTAAGGATTAAGCTGTAGAACAGTGCAAAAGATCTGGAGCGGTACAGGCGCACCTGTATGGCGCCGGAATAAATGTAAGTTTTTACTTTATTTAAGGGGCGGGGGGGCTAAAATGTGTTTTTAACACTATAGGGTTAGGAATACACGTTTGTGGTCCTGAGCCAATAATATTTGGAGAAAAACATCAATTCCTCAGCAGACACTCACTGCTGAGAAATGGAGGGCTAGAAGGAGCAGGGGAGACCTTCCACAGGCCATCCATCTGCTCTCCACCCGTAACTCCCTAGCCAGCGATGATAGCACCAGCTAGGGAATATAGGAATGGAAGTGTAATACTCACCCCTTTAATTGGGGAGTGGAGTGCCAGGAAAGCCATAACAGATTCCTTTTAATATGTTTCATGGTGCTGCTTTGTAGTTCTGTCTGTCACTGTATATTTTTTCTCACACAGGGATGAGAACCTCCAATAATGCTTTCAAATATATTTTAATCTCCACCAAAGTGGTTATGGTGCCAGGATTGACAAGATACCTGGGGTCCGCTGAGTGGAGGTCTCTCTGGACTTTGAGGCTTTCCTTTTTCAGCCATTCTGTTCTAGATTTGCTGGTGTGCTTTAATCATTGTCCTGTTGCATGACCCAATTTCAGCCAAGCTTTATCTGTCGGACAGATGGTCTCATGTTAGACTCTATAATACTTTGGTATACAGAGGCGTTTATGGTCGACTCAATGGCTGCAAGGTTCCTAGGTTCTGTGGCTGCAAAACAAGTCTATATGCTTCACAGTTGGTATGAAGGGTTTGTGCAGATATGCTGTGTTTGGTTTTCGACACACATCTCCACTTTGGTCTCCTATGTCCAAAGGACATTGTTCCAGAAGTCTTGAGGTTTGTTCAGATGCAACTTTGCAAAGCTAAGCTGTGCTGCCATGTTCTTTTCAGTGAGAAGAGGCTTTCCCCTGGCAACCCTTCCAAACAGACCACCAGGAGCTTCGGCTGGATTCCAATAGGGAGAGACATGGCTTCATTTAAGAGTATTCGAGTCTGTGATTATGAGATGCATGCCTTCATGACGGCTGGAGGGCCACTATCCCTCACGCTTGCCTAGATGTCTCTACCGCATATCCCCATACACTACGAAGTTTGGGCAATGGATGAAACTTGCAGCCACGCATGGAGCGACTTGTCACACCCCCATGCGCCCCCAAAACCTGCAAACTCTGACATTCCGTGTTATGCCCTCATTTCTAGCTCGACTTGTCTCTCTACTAATACAGTGACTTGCTACTAATTATGTTCCACCTTAGCCTTGTGCAGTACAATTAAATGCTAGCTTGTTTAGGATCCGTGGTCACCTTCTTAGATGTAAGACTCATAACATACATTGGGCCTGTTTAGTGCCAGCATGTCTAGCTACCATATCCTGTTATCAATTCTGGTATATGTTATTAGTTGATGCAAACTGCACCAGCCTGAGAAGCGTTCTCACAAATCTACCTTCACAGGCAGTCTGGGCAGTGTGTTGTGGAATCCGGTGGCTCAACAATCTTGCTTAAAAGTTTCCACCTTACCCAGCATGTGAAACAATTGTTTATGTTCATTTTTATGTCTACTATCCTTACAGACCACCAGTATAGCCTGTTAATTATGATCCGTTCTGTCTCTCCACTGTCTAACTCACTTAGAAATGTAATTGGTAAAAACAAAAAATGGCCAGTTTACCTATATGCCATTTCGATGATTATACGGTTTGTTTAGCACTATGCTTGCAATTGCTGTTGTGGCCTAGGAAGCTTACTGTTACTCCATGCACGATATAAATAAAGATTGACAAAAATAAATCAATAACGAGGCCACTTTACTAAATTATAAAGCCCTGAGTAAGTAGCAACAAATACAGCATATATTACATACATGGGATTCCAGCATGGCATGTCTGTGAAAACCAGACTGGAAAAAGGGTCTGCAGATTGAAACAAGGAACGGGCTTTTAAACATGTTTTACTGGCTACTTTGACCAACATTTAGAGGGAGAAATTCTCCTGTAGGTTTTGTCTTTACTGTGACATTGCCTTTTCTGATGTAACGAACACGGATAGGGTTTAATGAAATAGTTTTGCATAATTTTAGAACTTATTGCATTACAAAGAAATGTTTAACTAAAGTAATGCCATGTACAGAATTTAGGGTCCTATGAAAAATGTTACGAACCCCTGGTATAGAAGGACAATGAAGATGTGAAACAAGCAAGACTGAGCCATAGATCATCTATGGTCCTTTCGATCATTGAAAGACCAAAGATATCTTCTCATTGTCCTGTTGGAATGTTGTGGTTTTCTTGTTTAAACACAATGGATACTTAAAATAATGAAGAATATTCAGTGTAAGCCCTGGGGCCACAGCCAGTTATCCCAAATAACCTGTTTAACTGGTAATAGATTTTATATCACATTACCCAGTTCAGCAGCTGTAATATGGAAAGGTGACAGCAACCTATAAGGAGTAACAATTATCTGTTGATTGATTACATACCTGAATGGACGTACTTGAAAATGAAAAGTCTATCTTTCCTGGTAAAATATTTTATAATGACTGAAAACGATCAGGAGTTTTAGTAATGTATTTTAACAATAGTTTGCCAGAGGCTGCCGATACCGTAGATTATATTAAACCGTACATTTAAAGGGACACTATAGTCACCCAGACCACTTCAGCTCAATGAAGTGGTCTGGGTGCCAGGTCCCCCAGGTTTTAACCCTTCAGATGCAAACATAACAGTTTCAGAGAAACGGCTATGTTTACATTTGGGGTTAATCCAGCGTCTAGTGGCAGTCTTCCTGACAGCCGCTAGAGGCACATCTGCGACGCTGGAGGCATATTATGCCTCCATCGCGCAGAGCATCCATAGGAAAGCATTGAGAAATGCTTTCCTATGGACACTTTGAATGGGCGCGCGGCAGTTGCCGTGCATTCGACTCCGCTGACGTCGGCGGGGGAGGAGAGGTCACCAGCGCCTGGGGAGCCTGGCGCTGGAATAAGGTAAGTGGCTGAAGGGGTTTTAACCCCTTCAGCGCCACAGGAATGGGACCCTGAGGGTGGGGGCACCCTCAGGGCACTATAGTTTTAGGAAAACCGCTTTGTTTTCTTGACACTATAGTGATCCTTTAAAAAAAAAAAAAAAAAAAACCTCCAGTATACATATTATGCCAAATGTCTAATTTATGTCTCCTTCCTATATTGAATCTGTATGTTGGAGCAGATAGAATGCTATTGTTAGTGTGTATCCATATGTACACACTATCACTGACCATGATTTGAATACATAGAAACATAGAATGTGACGGCAGATAAGAACCATTCGGCCCATCTAGTCTGCCCAATTTTCTAAAAACTTTCATTAGTCCCTAGCCTTATCTTATAGTTAGGATAGCCTTATGCCTATCCCATGCATGCTTAAACTCCTTTACTGTGTTAACCTCTACCACTTCAGCTGGAAGGCTATTCCATGCATCCACTACCCTCTCAGTAAAGTAATACTTCCTGATATTATTTTTAAACCTTTGTCCCTCTAATTTAAGACTATGTCCTCTTGTTGTGGTAGTTTTTCTTCTTTTAAATATAGTCTCCTCCTTTACTGTGTTGATTCCCTTTATATATTTAAATGTTTCTATCATATCCCCCCTGTCTCGTCTTTCCTCCAAGCTATACATGTTAAGATCCTTTAACCTTTCCTGGTAAGTTTTATCCCGCAATCCATGAACCAGTTTAGTAGCCCTTCTCTGAACCCTCTCTAAGGTATCAATATCCTTCTGAAGATACGGTCTCCAGTACTGTGTACAATACTCCAAGTGAGGTCTCACCAGTGTTCTGTACAATGGCATGAGCACTTCCCTCTTTCTACTGCTAATACCTCTCCCTATACAACCAAGCATTCTGCTAGCATTTCCTGCTGCTCTATTACATTGTCTGCCTACCTTTAAGTCATCAGAAATAATCACCCCTAAATCCCTTTCCTCATATGTTGAGGTTAGAACTCTATCAAATATTCTGTACTCTGCCCTTGGGTTTTTACGTCCAAGATGCATTATCTTGCACTTATCCACATTAAATGTCAGTTGCCACAATTCTGACCATTTTTTCTAGTTTACCTAAATCATTTGTCATTTGGCTTATCCCTCCTGGAACATCAACCCTGTTACATATCTTAGTATCATCAGCAAAAAGACATACCTTACCATCAAGACCTTCTGCAATATCACTAATAAAAATATTAAAGAGAATGGGTCCAAGTACAGATCCCTGAGGTACCCCACTGGTGACCCTGAGCTGTATAGGGATTGGTTGGAGACAACAAATAGCCAATCAGATTTGGTATCAAATTGGCAAATTAGGATCTTATTCCACATCTTCCTGCAGTTTATTATCAATGTTTTCTGAAATTAAGGGCTACTGCTCATTATAATATGGTTGACAGAAGTGTCCTATGAATTTTCACAAACTAGTCTGTTTGCCAAGAAGAACAGAAAGCCAGTAATACAAGTACACAATAATAAGTCCTGCGCTCAAACGCCCACTACTCTTGGGCGGCAGCAATGACCATAGCACACATCAGCACCAATACATACAGTAAAATAACCCAAAACGTTACCTGCGCACTTGCCAAATCCCAATGTATAATTAAATAAATAGAGGTTATTCAGTAACTCCTATGGCCATTAGATGCAAGCCTACCTGCCACGTCCCTATTAAAGGCTAATAAGTATGTTGAGGTTTAGAAAAATACCCCTCTCTGTCTCAGAGATTTATTTGCCTGAAGCTGAAGGAAGCAAGGTGAATTGTTAGTGTAGGACCCACCTGAGAGGTTTGCCTTGATGTGGCAGGTGTACTTACATCTAATGGCCATTAGAATGGAACTAAAAACCTCACATTTATATAAATATGCATAGAAACCCAATAATAGGGGAGCCATAGATTTCCAGGATTTGTAGTAAGTTTACTTGCCCCCTATATTTAAAGGACCACTATAGGCACCCAGACCACTTCAGCTCAATTAAGTGGTCTGGATGCCAGGTTCCCCTAGTTTTAACCCTGCAGCTGAAAACATAGCGTTTACACTAGGGTTAATCCAGCCTCTGCTGGCTGTCTCACTGACAGCCGCTAGAGGCGCTTCCGCGATTCTCACTGTAAAAATCACAGTGAGAAGATGCTGGATGTCCATAGGAAAGCATTGAGTAATGCTTTCCTATGGGCGGTTTGAATGCGCGCAGGCTCTTGCTGCGCATGCGCGTTCGGATCTGACGTCGGCAGTGGGGTGGAGAGAGCCCGGCGCTGGAGAAACGTAAGTGGCTGAAGGGGTTTTAACCCCTTCAGCCCAGCGGAAGGGGGGGGATCTAATGACCCTATAGTGCCAGGAAAACGAGTTTGGTTTTCTGGCACTATAGTGGTCCTTTAACAAAATGACCATAGAAAAATGACCGCTGGCCCTGGCTCCGCCCTGATCTGCCTCCTTGATGACATCATGAGAATTTCCAATTTTTAGCCAATCCAATGCTTTCCCAAAAGGAAAGCATTGGATTGGCTAAAATCGGCAAGGAGGCAGGCCAAACACCGTTTTGGCTGCTCAGCACTTCCTCATACAGATGTATTGAATCAATGCATCTCTATGAGGAAAATTTAGTGTCCCCATGCAGAACGCAGAGACGCTAAACGGCAGTGCTGCGTACTGTGCAGCACTGCCCCAGGAAGCATTTCCAGTGGCCATCTGAGGAGTGGCCACTTGGTGGTGTCCCTAGGGACAATGTAAACACTGCAATGATTATACTCACCAGAACAACTACATTAAGCTGTAGTTGTTGTGGTTACTATAATGTCCCTTTAACACAAGTTATAGATTAATTTTTTACTATTTTTCCCCCAATGAGGTAAAATCCAGACAAGTGTCAATTCTTCTCTGCGTCATCATTATTCCACAGTCTGAAAACCAAGCTTTACCCTTGCACACAAAATGTGCATTCAGAAACCATATTCTATTTATTTTATTGCACCTCCACGTTTTTACTACACACTTTCAAGATTTGTATAAACCAGCAGCTGTCAAAAATATGTTACTGCTAACTCAATACCAGGCAAAACCTTTTATTGACCTTAGGATGGGAAAAGGCTGATTTGCATTGTGGAAAACTGAGCCTTCGACCTTGATTGTTGAACAGATGCTACACTCATTGCATTAACCAACTAAACTATCGCACTGATTGATAATCATAATGCAAATTTATGGTGCTTCAGCAAATCCTAATGATTAAATAGAAAACATAACAATGGCCAAACGTAAACATGACATAAATAGACAACAGCTTTTATTAACATGCTTTTGAAAAATGTTAAATACAATCACAGTTCCTAAAAAAATATTTCTATATGAGAAAAAAAAAAGCATATCCACTAAAAGCTATTCAGAAATGGGGGAAAATTGAAAATATTTTTTTTTGGATATTTGTTAATTATAAGGCAACAAAAATCAGATATACTCCAGATGTTTATTCCATTATATAATTGTTACAGAATAACTTTGAACAGCAAAACTTGTGCTCACACAACTGGTCAATATTCCAAAGTCCACTATGGCTATCAAATCATTTTAAACAGTGTGCCATAGTAAATATTTTTTTCCTCAACTACTACAGTGATTTTTGTAAAAAAATGTATTCTCCTTTTTTCCCCAATAATTTTTTTTTTTTAAATTAATTTTTAACACGATTAGTTGTCTATGTCCAGTGGTAAACATTGTTAAATTTACACCCGTCTTTTTGAGCGATAAACTAAGAAAAGGGATTGGTTAAGTAGATCAATATAATAGCTGTACTCTGCTTCTATCTCCCCAGAATACATACATATATACACACACTATATATATATATGTATATGTGTAAAGAGGAAACAGAACTTGGTTAAAAGATTTTTTTTTGTTTTGATTATAGAAAATAT